TGTTGATTAACTTTTACAAATAATTGTGTCTTCATGCTGATTAACTTTTACAAATTATTCTGTCATTACACTGATGAACTTTTACAAATAATTGTATCTTCATGCTGATTAACTTTTACAAATAATTGTGTCCTCACACTGATGAACTTTTACAAATAATTCTGTCGTTACACTGATTAACTTTTACAAATAATTGTGCCCTCACACTAACTTTTACAAATAATTGTGTTCTCACACTGATGAACTTTTACAAATAATTGTGTCCTCACACTGATGAACTTTTACAAATAATTGTGTCCTCACACTGATGAACTTTCACAAATAATTGTGTGCTCACACTGATTAACCTTTACAAATAATTGTGTGCTCACACTGATGAACTTTTACAAATAATTGTGTCTTCATGCTGATTAACTTTTACAAATAATTCTGTCATTACACTGATGAACTTTTGCAAATAATTCTGTCATTACACTGATCAACTTTTACAAATAATTGTCTTCACGCTGATTAACTTTTACAAATAATTCTGTCATTACACTGATCAACTTTTGCAAATAATTGTGCCCTCACACTGATGAACTTTTGCAAATAATTCTGTCATTACACTGATTAACTTTTACAAATAATTGTGTGCTCACACTGATGAACTTTTAGAAATAATTGTGTCCTCACACTGATTAACTTTTAGAAATAATTGTGTCCTCATATTGATTAATTGTTACAAATAATTGTGTCCTCACACTGACTAACTTTTACAAATAATTCTGTCATTACACTGATGAACTTTTGCAAATAATTGTGTCTTCATGTTGATTAACTTTTACAAATAATTGTGTTCTCATACTAACTTTTACAAATAATTGTGTGCTCACACTGATCAACTTTTACAAATAATTATGTCATTACACTGATTAACTTTTACAAATAATTGTGTTCTCACACTGATGAACTTTTAGAAATAATTGTGTCCTCACACTGATCAACTTTTACAAATAATTGTGTCCTCACACTGATGAACTTTTAGAAATAATTCTGTCATTACACTGATTAACTTTTACAAATAAAAATAATAACTTCCATCCCACATCCTGGACACAGCATGTCAGGATTTTCCCAAATC